CCCAAGCAGGGATGAATATTTTGGCTGAAGTATTTTTTGACTCTTATCGCCTATGTAGGTGTAGCAGTAGTGCACACAGAGATGGTGTTACTGCTGCTGTCCTAGAGGTGGTAGGCTGAGGAGCAGGAGGAAGCAGCAGGTCCACCATGCAAAGACAGAACTTCGTTGTCAGCTCTTCCTCCCATTGCAGCTGTGTCCCCTTTGCTCCACTGCACCACACCCTGGCCAAGGAGCTATTTCCCCTCCTGCAGCCAGGGTGGGCTGCTGCACAGCCCCTGGAGCAATTGGTGCTGTGATACAGGCCCAGAGACAACAAAGTGTTAATGGCTTTTTCATCAGTCACCTAGTCCAGGAGAGGAGGGGTATAACCTTAGGAAAGACTTTACCCAGCACAGTGTGACTCGCTGCCTCACTTGCTCATGGGGAACGACTCACATCTGTGCTCTTAGACCGAGGCTTTTGCTTCACTGAGGTCATCTTCTGGGAGCTCCCACATGCCCAGGAGGAGATCCAGAAAGCCTATTAGGCTTCACTGCATGTGAAAATCGAGATACACATGAAATTAGACACCCCACCTCCTCAGCAGGCAGTACAAGAATTTGGTGTCACTGAAGGGAGATCATCATCATCTAAGGGAGAGCCTCCAAACCTTGTAGAGCACAGCAGTAGCAGTGGCCAGGAGGAGTGGATGGATGGTCACATCTGTTTGGAGCTGCAGCACCTGCTGTCCGGCTGCATTTTGGGCACTGAGGTCTCCTCAAGCACCAGCACAACATGTCCCCCTGAAGACAGTCACCTTGCAGAGCAGGACTGCCTCTGCTCTGGGAGGTGGTCATGTCCACAGGGCTGGTGGTGAGCATCTCCTGTCAAGGTGAGTGCTCAGGCTCTTCCTCAGCCTGTCGGGTCTGAACTGCAGCCCAGCCCTGTAGAGAAGTCAAGGAGGGGGCTCGCAAGAGTGAAATGTTTGGAGGTCTCAGCAAGCAGATCAGAGGGAGCCATGCACTCTCTGGAGCAGGAGGGGCAGGTCTGAGGGCCCAGCGAGTCAGTGCCTCCTTGGCTGCCCTGCTGTGTGCCCATCACTTGTCCCCCAGCCTGGGCTGTGGGGTGACACTAGTGCTGGCCATGGCTCCATACTCCAGCTGAGTGTGTGAGGGGCCTGCAGGGGAGAGCCCTGAAGGGACAACAACTTCACTTTTCCCCATAGGAATATTCTTGAGAAGCACAGCAATGCAGAAAGCAAGTGGCAACATTTTTCTTTACTCAACAGCAGAAGAATTTCCCAAACTAGTTATTTATGGTCCTAACAATGGTTTCCGATGCTGTTGCCCAACCCCGCAGGCAGCTGTGTGGGGACATCACTCTTCTCCTTGCTGTGGCTTCAGTCTGGAGTTGGCCCCGAGAGCTGGGTCACTCAGGTGGTGACAGATGCTCCTTTCTTGGAGTGCTTGTCAAGCCCCTTGGCGGGCCAGAGAGAAAACCACGGTGATGGGGTCACACCCTGGGGAGACTGTGGTTTTGTCTTTGGTGCCCATAAACAGGCACAAACGTGGTTTTCGGCTGGCAGGGCTGTGGAATCACGTGCCAGCGAGCCACGGCTCATGCAAGACTCTCATCCAGCTTGTGTCAGAGCAGTGAGGGTCTGTTATCTCTGGCTGCTCTGCTTCAAAGCTCACCGTGGGATTTGCAGCCAAATTTTGGGCAGGTGATGGTACAGCCTCAGACCACACAGATGTGCTTCCAGATGTGCAGTGCTCGGCCTCAGTCCCATGCCAGCCCAAGCCAGGGAGGTCCCTGGACCTCATGTCACATGTGTTAGTGTGAGGAGATGCCTCCAATGGGGGTGGGCAGCTTCCATCTTCCACCTGTCTGTTCCTGTGCCTGGAGTAGAGGGGGAGTTTGTATCGTGCAGATTTTGTTCTCATTTTTGTATGGCAAAAATTTAGCTCTTTCTGGTCATTCTTCACTCCTGGAAACCTTTACTTTACTTTTAGTTTAAGGATGTATTGACCTAAGTAGCAAATAAGAGTTTATGTACATTATAATGCCATGTGGTCAGCTTTGAATTTGCAATGTATGTGGGAGAAAGCTCCCTGATTATGTAACCAGTGAAAATCCAGAGCTGAGCTTCAAGAATTTGGTTTTCCCACAAATGCTGCTTTGCTCTTTATCAACATGAAGCAGCTGAAGCCTGCAGGGAGTCGTGTTTGTGCCTGTCCCTGTGTCACAGCCCGGACCGCACGTGTCTGCGTAGCTGGGGGGTTGGAGGAGAGGGAGGATCAGTGCTGCCCGCTCCTGCTCATTTTTCAGTCAAGGTGGACTTGCTTATAGAATCGTGAAGGTTGGAGAAGACCTCTAGGATCATCAAGTCCAGCCGTCACCCAACACTACCATGACCACGAAACTGTGTCCCCAAGTGCCACATCTGCACATTTTTTGAACCCCTCCGGGGATGGGGACTCCACCACCACCTCCCTGGGCAGCCTGGTCCATAGATGGACCCCAGAAGAGAGATAAGCCCTGTGGCAGCCTGTGCCCTTCTTTGGTGCACTCAGACCCTGCCTCTTTGCAGCATGGGTACATCCAGTGGTGGGTCTCCATCACAGCCAGTTCCTGTCCTTGCTTGCTCTTGATTTTAGAAAGACACCCAGCATGAGCCAGGCTTTGTCTGCAGCACTTGTTTTGGGTCCCCAGAGTGTGACATGCTGACTCTTCCTTAGTTGGTGTTAATTGCTCCTATGTCATCTACATGGAAAATTCCCAGGATTCTTTCTGCTCTGTACTTCGGCAGGATTTATTTTGATCCATCCAGCTTTGCTTTTAACTGTGCCACTGTTGTCTAGGGCCAAGTCCCTGTTTCTCTGTCTGTGGAAATACATCACTGAGAGCATTTTGAGGATTTTTGTAGCCATTAGGTGATGTTACTCCATGTGTTACTTCTGCGTAGAGGACAGTTTTGATTTATAAGTCTGAGCTCCTCTTGTCCTTCCTGAGCTTGAGTGTGAGCCAGTGCTGAACCACAGGCTCCTCCTTGAGATGTTTTACCTCTTACTGAAACATCCAGTAACCTCCCCAAAAATCTAAGAGCATCCACATCCTGAATTTTCACTACTTATCAAACCATCCTCCCCTCAAGTAAGCAAGTGGCAGAGACTGGGAATATGCATTTTCCATTCAGATCCTCACCCCTCTTGTTGTTTCCCCACTGTCTCAGCTACTAAATTGTGGAGGAGTTGTTGTTACATTTTTGTTCCCCATATTTGAGGAAATGGATGCTTATATTAGCTATTATTTCCTTGTCAGCTGATTTGCTGGTCTGTTGGTAAAGTGTACCCAGCCTGGAGAGACTGAAATCCTCCAGCAAAGATGGGATGCTGGTTTGTGAGCAGGGAGAAGCACAGGTTTACCTCCAGTATAAATGGGCTACAAGAAGAGCACAGAAAGGGCCCATAGTAGGTTTAAGAGAGTTGAGTTTTAGTAATTTTATTATTTTACATGCCATCTGAGCAGAATTATTGAGAACTCTGCCCAAGTCATGAGAGGAATGATTAATGCATGAGCTTAAAATGAATGGAAACCACAACCAAAGGATAAGAAAGCAAAGCAAAGGGCAGACTTGGGAGGGTGGGACAGGCAGCATGGTCAGGGTACAGCCTCTGAATCCAGCCTGTTTCAAAGCTGATTCTGTAACTGGCAGTAGGGATGATAAAACACATTGCTGGCACTGGGAAGGCAACATAATGTGCACTGAGGAGTAGTGGACACAAACAAGGTTGTAGGAGAAGCCACATGTAGAACCACTGAAACTTGGTGGAACCGTCTCCCTTCTCTATGTGGGAATGTATGGGTGGTGGCCTGGGCAAGTTTCCTTGTTGGAGAAGGTCCTGGTGACTGGTGAAATGGAAGAGGGTAGAAGCAGTCACAGCTGGGGCAGCTGCATGGAAGAGGTGGGCTGCAAAGAGGAGGGCTGGCAGCTGGCAGAGCAACCAGAAGTGCCATGAGGGTTTGGGGGCTGGAATGTATTGTGGGAACATGGTGGTCTTCTCATGCAGGGGGTCGGCTGGGTCCAGGTTGCACTAAGGGACTTCGTTCATTGCATGGCACTCTTCAGCTGGCATCTGCCATGAAATTGTATTGAAATGTAGCTTACAAGGCAACGAGGGCTTTCACAGTATCTCCTGTACCTGATAATTTCCTTTTTGGTTGAAGTTCAGGTCTCTGTTATTGTTGCACGCAAAACTTAACAAGACGCTCTTTCTGTTGACGTTTTAATTATTACATTTTTAACAAAAGAAGACAGAATTGAAGTTTCTCAGAAAGATTGTGTGCACAGCATAAAGATGTTTTGTGCTGGTTCATATCTCTGGATAATTTACTCTTAGGTACAAATCAACCATGTCTGGCTCAATACTGTTTTCTGTGAAAAACATTTTGTATGTCTGAAGACTGTGTAACATCATAGTTGCCTTTAAGGGATGCCCAAAACCTTGTAAAGAAGAGTTGTTCTTAAAAAGCATTGTTTGTAACACCTCCTGAGGTTTAGCAACCAGCAGACAGTTGGGAAGAGGAGTTCTGGTAGGTGCTGCAAACCCTCAGTGCCCTGGGCTAGTGAATGAGAGGATGTTTATTCCAGTTCTTATGATTCCCCAGGGACAACTTTGCTGTAAAAGCAGAGGAAGCAAGACTTTGTGTTGAAGAGCTCCTGGAGTTAAACAAAACTAAATAAATAGACAGTAACAATTATTCAAGCTGCTTGTACAAAAGGAAAAAAAAAAAAAGATTGGACCGTGCTGAATTGCTGTTTCAGGTCACCTTTTACACCATGCCTCCATAAAATCAGTGTTTGGTTCCTTAAGATGTTTCTTTGCTGGGGTGGGACATCTGCCCTAGCAACAAGTTTACCCCTAGAGCGGGACAAATTTAGAGTTTTTTCCACGTGTGCAGACATGTCATATTCTTTGCTGGGTGGCACAGTGTTTGACTGGTCCTTCTTCCCATTTCAGCCTGAGAGGATAGATCCCAGCGCATCCAGGCAAGGCTATGATGTCCGCTCAGACGTCTGGAGCTTGGGGATTACATTGGTGAGTGGGGTCTGGGCCCTCTGCACGGTCCTGGTGGGGAGTCTTGGTGTGCTTTGAGGTGTGATGGAGTAGGTTGGTGTCAAACGGGTGCTTGAAGCAAAGCCCAGCTCTGCTGCTGTGAAGCATTCGCATGTTGTGACTGAAGTGGGCACCTCCTGGCTCAGAGACAATACGAATCCCTGCAAGGCAGGTGGTCTCCTGAACCCCTGAGGGTACGTTTAGCTGCAGCTATGTTTTGCAGAGAAGGAGACGAGAGTGGGGAAGAGGTGGTGGATCACAAATGAATTTTGTCTCCAGATGATAAGGGATGGTGAGTGTGGTGGTGCAGAACAGAACATCCAGCCTCTGTAAATAAGCCTCTCGCAGCCCTGGCATCTGGTGTACTTCGGCTGTGCAGGAACCTTCAGTTAATCCTGGATCCCCATTGCTGATTCCTCCCTGGCTTAACCACAGCACTGCTGAGTGCACACACTGATAGACTGAAAAATCTTCCCTTCTCAAGGGGGTGAAGTAGAAGAGAAGGCAGAAGCAATAAGTATGAACCAGAAGCTTCTGTCTTCCCCACTGGTGTTTTAAAATGTCAGTTTCATTGTCCTGTGAGGAACAGGGAGTTGGACTCTGGTCCTTACGGGTCCCCTCCAGCTTGGGATAGTCTACAGTTGTGTGGTTCTCCTTGCCCATTTTCTCCAGTGATCGTTAGGGTATTTGGGAAGGGACTGGAGGATTTTACTCTCCTACTTCTGAACAACTTAGTAAGAGTAGTGGTTCATGTCATAGCAGAGAAGACATTGTCACCATGAAAGCATGGCTTAGCCATGTTAAATCTGGAGGTGCTCCTAATGTAGGCAGCAGCTGTTACTATTGGGTAAAACTTTCTCTTCTCTCAGCTGAGCTTCGTATGGGGAACGGGGGGAAGAATCTCATCTTAGTGTCCCTTTTGGGGGGTTTGGGGTCTTTGCATACATCTTCTTACCCTGATGAGTTTACCTCATGTAACCCTCCTGGTGCTGTTGCTGTCGCTGTCTCTCTGCAGTATGAGCTGGCCACGGGGCGATTCCCCTACCCCAAGTGGAACAGTGTGTTTGACCAGTTGACACAAGTAGTAAAAGGAGACCCACCACAGCTGAGCAACTCAGAGGAAAGGGAGTTCTCCCCAAGTTTCATCAACTTCGTCAACTTGTGGTAGGTGTTTCCTCCCGAAAGCACTTGGAGATGTCTTGTTTTGTCATTGCCAGGTAGCTGGCAAGGGTAATATGCCAAGCACTTCCTAGCTTTGTTTCACATCCTGCACCAGCATGAGGGTGAGGATCTTTTGCATTTCACTGATTTGGAGATGATAGGAGACTTGTCTGAGTCAGGGCTGAAGAGTAGACCTTTGGAAACTACTCTTTGGAGAAGGTATGAGGAGAAAACCTCTTGAGCATATTCTCAGGAGAGGCATAGGGTTTTGCATGGCCAGGTAAGGGCCTGTCCTGTGTATCTCGTTCCTCGGTGTGATGCAGCTCTGAGACAGACGTGCTGTTTGTCCTTTCTTCTGCAGGCAGGAGCCTGGGACACCTGGAAGTGTTGTCCCATTGCTGGGCAGAGGACATGTGCTTGTCCTGCCCTTTGCCTGGCAGGGCCAGGGGCCTTCCCACCCAGTTCTGCTCAGCACAGTGACTGGCAGGACCCGTACCAGGGGGCTTGCTTGGTCGTTGGCATCATGTGTCTTGTGCCAACCATATGCCAAGGTCAAGACTAGAGATCTCTCTAGGGCAGGGCCTCTGTAGCATGGTCAGCCTGGGGTGAAGAGCACTCCGTGTTTGTGCAGGAGAGGCTTGGGGCAGTCTCTGTCTGCCACGTGTGTGGTCCTGCTTTGGTTGAGGGATGATTGTGAATTTCCTGATGAATTATTCTTCTATCAAAATGTGAAAGGTAGTCAACATGATTTTGTTAACCTAATATTGAAGCACACGGGAGATCCATCAGTGTCATCTGTGGTTGTCTTCTGGGACCTTCTGCCCTGGGCAGACCCAGATGATGGACATTCCCAGCACAGGGCTGTCCATTTCAGAGCTTTGTGACACAGGAAGACTCAGCTTTACACAATTTTAACTTTCAAGAGAACTTTCAAGAGTTTTTTTTTTTAAGGTTTTCCATCTATGGGAGATGTTCTTTGGGTTTGGATTTTACTCTTATTTCAGAATTATGAACTTTTGTGGAGGCCAGGTTCCACTTTCCATCTGGCTGTAAAAAAGTCCTGGTTATTGTCTTTGGGCTGCAGAAAACAGAGCATCAAAATGGTTTGCTCCTCAAAGGCAGCTTCCATTTTTCAGTTCAAAAATGGTGTAGTTTTGGTTAGAAAATCAGGAGTTGCTTTCTTCATGTAGACCACAAGCAGTTGGTTGTTTCCCACACAGCTTTCCGCAGGGATGATGCATGGTTACAGAGCTGGCAAAGCCAGGAGCTCACTCTCCTGCCCCATGTGCATGGGTGAGCTGTGCTCCAGGTCATGGCACCTCTGCTGGGCAGCAGTGTCGTTGGCACATCAGTCTGATTGGGTCAGTTCCTATTTCCAGCCCATTTACCCCTCCCAGGGCCCGGTGCTCTGAAACAGCCATGATACAGCACGAGGCAGTTCTCATTCTAGTTCTGTTTTTTGGCTAGTATGGTTTATAAATAATTTGACTTTAATGCCTGGAATATTGATGGTGTCTTTGTAGCAATGCTGTAATAAATATTTCTCTTAAGGACCTGTACTTGATTGTGAACAGTAATCTTTGGTGTCCCTAGGCAGGCAGGTGGGTCTCTGAAAGGCTGTGCCTTTAGGGGATGGCATAAATCTCCTGGGCATTGCCCTACAAATGTGAAGATGTAATAATCTTCTATTTTTGTGCACTCCAGACTCAGGAAAAATCTTGAACATGAGTCCTGCAGTGCTGCTGCCTGCTTGCTGTGATAGATCAGGGAGAGAAGGATATTTTCAATAATACTAAAAAGTATCTGGGATTTTGGTGTGTGTGTTTGTTTTTTTTTCTTTTTTGGTGATTTGCTTTGGGTCCCAACAGCACTGTGAATGCCTGGCTGTGACATTGTCCCCCTTCAGCCCACCTCTGTCTGTCAGATGCTTACCTGAAGTCAGACTCCTCCTGAAGCTGCTTGCAGAGAGAGGTTCAGCTTTTGGCTCCAGGGTGCACAGAGAGGCCCAGCTCTGGGTTTGGCTTTGGGAGCCACACACCAGCAGCTGCAGAGCCACCAGCTCCTGAGCTGCAGCTGCCTGGGGAGGAGAGGGGATGTTGCTGCAAAGGAAGGAGCCGTGTGGCACCTGGTGCTGCCAGTGGCCGCTCCAGGCGCACACCTTCACGTCGAGCTGGAGAAGCAGTGAAGGATTTCTGTGATTTCTCTGTGAGCTGAAGCTCTGACCAGCTGCCTTCAAGGCATTGTGAGGAGCACGTTCAAACCCCCAGACTCCTTGAGGTCAGAAAATGAATTGATGTTGGGTGGCAAAAGCCTGAAGTGAGGGTGTTTGTGCAGCAGCTGTGGGATTTTTGATGGTTGGATTTGATGCTCTGAGAGGTCCTTTCCACTCTTAATGAAGGCCATGCTGTAGTCTTGCTGGAGCTTGAGAGAGGTCCAGCCCGAGCCTGTGGGGGTGGAAATGCAGCTCTTGGGAATTAGACTCAGCTCCCCTCATTTAGGAATGATGCTATGTCTGCCATTTCCCTTCCTTCTGGCACCCAGGGCAGGGGCTGCTGTTGACCCCATCCCTGGGCTGTCTGCCTCTGGTCCCCATGTGCCTGCCATGTCCCAAGGCCCAGGGGCTTTGGTGGCCTTTGCTGCCACCTGCTGTCCTCTCTGTACTGGTCGAGGTGCCAGAGGAACCCCACAGGGAGGGCACGGTGTTCTGCTTGCACTGGGATCTGTCCCCAGCAGGATTTGTTGGTGGCCACACTTGCTGTTGGTGGCTACACCCGTGTGGGGTGGGAGGGAGGGAGTCCCTGTGGCCACTCACAGCACAAGGATGTTTTTTCCAGAAAATAAAAGGCAGTGAGTCCCACCACGATAGTGGTGAATTCAGCATGGTGTCCTGTAAAAATTTGCATTTGATGTCTTTAACCATTTCTCCAATCCCACCTTCTCCTAATTCTCTTTCTGCTTTCTTTAGCCTTACAAAGGACGAGTCCAAAAGGCCAAAGTATAAAGAGCTTCTGGTGAGTGCAAAGTGTGGCTGCCCGTGCCGGCTGTCCCGGCCCTGCTGTCCGCACAGCGGGGTGGGTCTCACATCCGAGGTCTCTCCAGGTCTTCTGGGGCCATCAGGGCAGGTGCTCAGCTCCACAGCCTCAGGAGGAGCAGCAGCTCTACGCCTCTGAGGTCACCAGTGCCCGTCTGCAGGCACGGGAGGCCAGCTTGGGGGGGTGCCCTGCTGCGGCTGCCTGCCGGGGCTTGGGGCGTGCCGGCTGTGCCACGTAAATGCTGCCTGGGATTTAGGTCCTGACACGGTGCAGGAGCCATGTGGAACTTCTGGCCAGCACCTTCGTGTATAAGTGGCCACAGCAGGCAGGTCACACAGCGAGGCTGGAGTGCTCTGGCGTAGGACACGAGCAGAGCCGGCGTCGGGGCAGAGCCTGCAGCGGGAATGCAGCGATGCTTTTGGGCTGGATGAGTCAACCTTGGCAACCACACACCTTCAAGGAGCTCTGGGCATCTGGAAGCCACGTCTTCAGGGGCTGTGTGAAACCATGCCCTGGGTCCCTGATGGTGGTGGTGTGACCATGCTGTTATTTCCCAGGTGCTCTGAGATGGGTCTGGCCAGTGTGGCCTCCTGGACAGAGCAGAGGGTAACAGTTCAGGAGAACTGGGTTTGGGTCCTGATCTCCTGTTTGACCTCCAGAAGCTGTGTCTCCCTGTCACTCTTGTCTCCCTGTTGCTGACAAGGCTGCTGCTGAAACCTCTCGAAAGTATTTCAGTACATGTCCGTGCTGCAAAGGAGCCAGGTGCTTCCAACATCACACCCTCGCTGCCTCCTGGAGTCCTGTCCCAGCCCCGTGCTGCACATTTCAGATGCAGATTGGGTGGGTGAAAGCCACGGACCAGGTTCTCTCCTGTTGTCCTACAGCCACCACCAACCTCTGTGTTCGTGCATCAGGCAAATCTATACACTGAGCTTTTATCTGGGGTAGGCAGCGTGTGTCAGAGGAGGGAATGTAACTGTGTTGTGTCTTTATCTGATTCCAGAAACATCCCTTCATCCTGATGTATGAGGAACGCACAGTGGATGTTGCATGCTATGTTTGTAAAATCCTGGATCAAATGCCAGCAACTCCCAGCTCTCCAATGTACGTCGATTGATATTGCTGCTACATCAAACTCTAGAAAAAGGGCTGAGAGAAAACAAGCTGTAAAGAATTTTCACCACATATTGCAGTGTTTTTAATGCTCGCCCAGACACCATGTGCAATAATATTGGTGTTATTTCCATCCTGTCTGTATACTGTTGTCACATAAAAAGTGCATCCTTGTAATACCTGATCACACAGTGTTAGTGTTGGTCAAAGAGAGACCTCATCTTGCTCTTTTGTGGACATATTCATGAAATGTGGAAATAAGTACATTTATTTGTTGACCGTGATTGGATAGCACCTAAAATTAATTTCTAGACTCAAAGCTTGGAGACTTCTCAGCAGCTACTGGAAAGGTTTTTCTCTCAAACTCTTCCAATTGTTGTTTCAAGTAATAATAAAAAGCAAACAAACAAAAGTTAGGCATTGTCTGTCTGAACATCAAGAGACTTTGCCTGGAGGGAGAAGAACTTGCTTAACCAACGAGATGCTTTGCCTTCTGGAGTTAGAAAGGCAAAGGAGAATTTTATTCTTCACAAAGTGCAATAGATTTACTGCTATGAAATTCTGTTGCTTTACAGTCGCAGTGTACTTTCTGGGGACAGTGCTCAGCTGAAATTCTGTTAAAGAGAGATCATGTTAAATAGAGTGAATATGTCTTTACCAAAAATATGTTGCGTTGAAAGAAGCTAACATTAAACTATTCAGAGATGGGACATCATGTATTGTTTCTCCTTTTACCAAGCCAGCCCCTCTTCACTTTTAACTAGGTGTCCTGTAAATTGTTACCTGGTAAGATAAGACCTTTGACCTGAAGAATTATTAAACTACTCGATTGAATTTAACCTGCTTGTGACCTGATTTCTGGCCGCACAGTGCTCGCTGCCACCTGGCTCTGCCCTGACCTCCACGAGTGCCGTTCGCAAAGTCTGCCGCCCTTTTCACGAGCCGCAAACCAGTGTCTGTGACTTCTAGCCAGTATTTCTCACCTTATTCACTGTCCCCAGCCCTGATGCTGGCACCTTTTCACTGACCTGAACCTCCCAGCCCTGCCAACACCGAGCCCGGTGTCCTGGTCGGTGGGGATGTCCTCCCACTGCCGCGGGCTCTGCGCCGGCCCCACCGCTTGCAGGCACCACTCTGCTTGGCTTGCTGGGACTGCTCACCACCCTCTGGGCAAGGCCAGCCTCCTTTGTGACCCTCCACGGCTCTTACTACTGCACCCTGGAGCAAACCTCACTCAGCTTGGTGTAGGCAGAGGTGACGTGGAGATGAGGGAGTGTTTTAATGCCTTGTGGGCTTAATTTAGCTGGCCCAGCAAGGCCAGGCAAGCTGTCATCTTCTGGCCCATCGCTGAGCCAAAAAGTGCATCGGTTGGGTTTTTTTTTAATTGGCATATTTTTCAAAGATTATTTTTTCCTGAAAACATTTTTTTTTTTTCTTCAAAAAATTCGTACTTCTAATACATTTAGTAGCCTACCAGGGATAAAATGGAGACTGCAGCATCTCTGAGTTCCATTTTGAGTTGTCTAGTCTGGGCACTTTGTAGGACTTGAGATCAATGTTAGAACAACCTACTGTCAAAGCTCTGGAACAAAACCTGACCCAGGATGCAGAGGGCCAGGGATGCAAGGGGAGTGGAAACAGCAGCACCAGCAGGACTCCCCAGGAAGGGCTTCTCGTGTCAAACACTGCTGCCAAGCGCAAACTGGGCTGATGTGGGAGCACTGGAGATGAGCACACCCCTGCCCCAGCTGCTCGGCTGGGAAAGGAGAGCCGAGGCCATGCTCCTATGGATGCTTGGTGCTTCTCTGGCCAGAGGTGACAGAGACCCTTGCAGCACTGCGTGTCTCCTGCTGGGCTGTTGGAGCCGGTCCCTCTGGCACCAAGGCTGATGCTGAGGTGATCCCTTGGGGCGCAGCGTGCCCAGCTGGGAAGGACATGCAGTCCTCCTGCCCTTCCTGGGCTATGTTCCTCGGGCTGCGCATCAGGTGAGGTTGTCACTAAAGTCTTCCCAAAACAGACAAGGCAGAGCTTTCTGCAGTAGCCAGGCATTCCCAACAGCTCTGACTAATCACGTGGAAGGATCAGTTCACAGGACCCACAGCGTATCCAGAGTGGTAATTCTGCCCCCAGCCCTGTAGCCTTGGAAAACTTGGCTTTCCTCAGGCTTGGCCAAGCCTTGCAGCTGGGATTCATATCACCAGCTTTCAGCCACCCCCAGTGGACCTGGGGTGCTGAAGAGACACAGGTCTAGTCGTGCAGAGCTGCTCTGCCTCCACCCCCACCTTCCAGATGCTGAAGTCTGATCCACACCCAGTGATGGAGAGCCCAAAAACCTTTCAGAGGGCTAACACTGGGATGGACCCTTCCAAAAGTCAGTTTTCCTCCAACTGAGCTCCTGCCTGCTCTGCTCTGCTGGCATGGCTGGGGTCCCTTTGCTGGTGCCAGCCCCATCCAGGGCTCATCTTTAGCCATGTGACTAGTTTGATTCCGATGGCTGCGAAATGGAAGCATGAAGCTTTGAGCTGCCAGTGGCAAAGTCAGGCTGGAGGTGCTGTGGCATTGGTGGCTGTCCAGAAGGAGAGGTTTAGTCTATTAAACATAGCTTATTATAAGGGTACACCATTTATTAAGATGTATCTTTATTAAAAAAAGAAAAAAAAAAAAAAGAGTGTATAGTGTTCAGAAGCTGTGAAAATAGTGTAAGAACTGTACATTGTGAGCTCTTTTTTTTTTTTTTCCTGTATCATAGAACTATGTATAAAAATTATCAAAAAACTGATGTGCAGGGATGTTGCCTTATTGTCTGTAAAATGGAGCTCAGGAACTTAACTGCTTCAAAGAGCTTCAGAGTATTTTATCCAGTATCCCAGTTTGACTTCCTCCTCTATTTAAGATATTATACACGGATCAGAGTGTTTATGTAATAGTTCTATCCTTTTGCCTGCAGGTCAGTTGTAATAAAACTAGGATGCGACTGTGACCTTGTTATTTTTATTTTGTAAGGTCAGACATGAATGGGAAGGTCCATTCGAAGCTGTTGAAATAAATACCTGGCTTCCAGGGCTTTCCTCCAGGGGGAGGCAGCTGCACCGGAGAAGAGCAGCCTTCGAAACTGCTTGTGTCGAGTTAAACAGGAAAAAAAGTCCAGGGAGACCTGGATATATTTTCTTTCTCTGGAAGACTGCTGAGCTCCCTGCGCTGTTTGGGTGCCTCCCAAGTGAGCCCTGTTCGCTGCACAGGGAGGTTCTGGTGGCTCAGGACATCTTGTCCCTGCGAGGAGGGCAGGTGGCCCTGGCCACACTCTGGGGAAAGGGCAGCTGATGCTCACAGCCTTGCAGGCTTCTGTAGTTTTGCAAGAGTAGTCAATGTCTGCAAAGTCCAGATGATCTAAGAATACAAATTCCTGGGTAATTCCTACTGCCAAAGCTCCTGGTGCTGGGATAAATGTCCCTCCTGCCTGGAAGCCATGGAGGGCTTGGAGACTGTTCAGTCAAGTGAGCAGAACTGGACCTGAGCAGCTGCACTGGGAAAGAAGACAGTGCTGGGAGAGAGGGGCTGGCCACAAGTGCCTGTAGTGCTCAAACTGGCTTGATGGGACAGACCCACCTTGCTGCTCCTTTGAGCCCTTGGGCAAATTAAACATTCCTTGCTTCAGCAATGTGTGATGTCTTTCTCCAGCCCTGGGGCTGGCAGTCCTCCTACGGACATCATGACCAGACTGATACGGCTCGACTCTGGCTTCTTCTGTGCCACCACAAAGGCTCTGAGGCTTCCCTGGTTTCTGTGCTTGGTGCAAGGCTGAGGGTATGAGCCAGCCTCCAGGTAGACTTTCAGTCATTGACCTTTTGACAGTGATCCAGGCTGGCACCTCATACCAATTCTCCATACCTTTAGGCCTGCTTGCATAGCTGAGACACTTCTCAGGTCTTCACCAAGCATTAGATAGCATCCAAAAAAAGCGTACTGTGCTTTGTTGCAATTAGTGTGTGTCTGTGGAACTGCAAGACCAGCTTTGAGGTCTGGCCAAGTTCAAATACATCTCTGCCTGCACCATATGCATGCAGATGTGCAGCATCTGGCAGGAGCACTTTGAGTTGTGTGGTCTGTATTTTCACTGATCTCCTCCTTGGCTTCCCCAGCCTTCATCCCAACCTCTTGTTTCTTCCAGTGGCCAGGCAGGTACAAATGAAGTGCTCAAGCCCAGGGTAATACTATAGGTCCTGCTTAGAAACCAAACAGCTCCACTTTCACTTTGACTCCTGCTACCAATCACAAGCGTGGTCATTGCTTTGAACACGTTGAGGGTCCAAGGAAAGAAGGAGCAGCTGCTTTGATGAAGAAGGGAAAAAAGAGCTCTTGAATTTTCCCCTTGTGTTTCAAGCTGTGAAAACTCTTGGAGAACAGGCTGAAGCTCAAACTCCCTCTTCTGGACACACACAGAACCGTTGTTTTATTGGGAATAAAACGGAGCAGGCTGGACTGCGGGGGGTCTGCAGAGAGCGTGTGACTAAAAGCCACGATCTTTGTGTAAACCCCAGGTGGAAGGGCTGGGCAGGACCTGCTCTCGGGAGAACGTGGAGTCCTCAACCAGCAGATCTCTGCTCAGCACCAGAAGAGCTGGCGCAGGGATGTGTCCCTGCAGGTATAGCTGTGCTAACAGTCCCAAGAGCACACGCAGGCTCAGAAAGCAGGAAGGCTGAAAGGGTTTGGTGTGTGTAGAAGGACCATCTACTGACACTAGAGGAGATGTGCTTGCTTGCAAGGTTGTGCGTATTAAAGTCTATGGTGTCTGCGTGTCCATGCCTGTGCTTGTGTGGGTTCAGACATCAGAGCTACAGTGAAAACCATCAGAGAAGGTGCTTTGTGTGAGCCTAACGTCTCATTAGACACCAGACACGGCTGTCACATCCCATTGTCCTGCCCAGTTCTGCTCTGTCCCTTCTTTTCCCTAATTTGGTTCATGCCTGACCTAAGTCAGCCATTTCAGATAGAAAGAAGAAAATGAGAAGCACCAAAACTCAGATGCCTCAACTTTTTCTATGCCTCTGGGAAGAAAGCTCACCTTAGTGGCTGACCACAGAAGCAGTTCTCTCACTTTGTTGGACAGAGATGGAGCCAGCCAGCATTGTGGCACCCCAGATTATGTTCAGTCAAGTTATTGTGAGAAGATGGGGAGAACCTGCCTGATCTTCAAAGGACAACAGGTTTTTTCACCAGATTCAGAATGGACTGAGAGCCCATCTTCTGCAGCACACATGACGGACTAATTATAGGTGATTTGTCTTGAGAAGCTGTTGCAGGTTTCTGAGAAAATTCTTTATCCCTCTGCACCTGGGTTTGAAGTGGAAAAACAGGAAGAAAACAAATAAGGAAGGAGGATGGAAAAACTTAGATGCTGGGGAGTCCACATCAGAGTGATTTCCTGAGCACATTTGAATATGATGCCAATTTCAAGAGATTTGTGGAGACCACCTTGAAATCCAGCCAATTCCTGCTTCCTGCAAAAAAATTCAGTGCAGCTGAAGCCACCTTTTTGACGGGGTCACTGCCACCAATATGTGAGCTGAACATAGGGGCATTCCCAGCGAGGAGGCCAGAGCCACCTCTTCACGTGGTGCTGACTGAGGTTGGCACCAGGAGGAGGGGTGACTTGGATGGCAGAGGTTCAGATGTTGCTGGAGAACGTTTTCTTACCAGATGAGCAATGCAGGAGATGCTCCGTGGTCTCTCCTGAGGGCCCATGCTTTTGTAGCTTTGAAGCCCAGTTAAATGTGGTGCTGCTGGTGCTTGTAGGAGGCCACAGCCCTACAGTGCTACGGTAGCATAAGGGGTCTTGGGA